CAAGATAGGAGAGTAAATATTAACTGTCACTGTTTGTGGTGTTTGTGGGCATGTGGTTGCACAGGCGTGTAATTCCAGCTACCCATGGGAATACAGAATGAATTCCAAGCCAAGTTGATAAGCTTAGTGAGACTATGCCTCAAAAAAAAAAAAACAAACCAAAAAACCAAAACAAAACATAAACCAAAAAACCAAAAACCAAAAAACCCCAAACAAACAAATTAAAAAAAAAACAACAAAATAACAATGACAAAAAACACAAAAGAGTGAGCTGAGTCAGTCAACACTTAACCATGGATCAGGGAAGGGCTCATGAGGCCCTTCTTTTCCCTGCTGAACTACTGACAACTGACGGATTCTGGGGGAGGGACAATTCCTAAGTTATATGTCAGAAGGTGAGCCCACTAGACTCCAATGGATAGTTCCGCACCTTTGACCACACATAAAGTTTATGTTAAAACCCAAGAATCCCAAAACAAAACAAAAAGACATAAATATGAGAGGGGCCCATGGGGGCAAGGTAGGATTTATTGGGGTGGGTAGGAGATAAGAGAGGGTTGGGATGAGTAAACAGGAATACATTACTTTATTATTATCTCAGGTGTTTAATGTGGATATGAGAGAGAGAGAGAGAGAGAGAGAGAGAGAGAGAGAGAGAGAGAGAGAGCCAGCCCCTGGGCAGGCTGGTGGTTTTCTCTGGGTACCCAAAAGCTCACATCTTAACCTGGTCCTACCTCTTAAAGGCTGACAGAGGTTCCCCATCAATGAAACAATGGACGTGGATGCAGGTCAGTGGTTGAAAGCTTACTTAACAATTGCAACAACATCTACTCAGAAGCCATGGTAATCACTGCAACAAATGAAAGACATACATCAACAGAAGGACGCAATGATTATTTATGTTGGAGCTTGTTCTCGTTAGTTTTTTGTCAGCTTGGCACAAGCTAGAGTCATCTCTCAAAATTAGAACTTTAATTGAGAAAAACCTCCATTAGATTGCCTGTAGGCAAGTCTATGGGGGCATTTTCTTGATTTCAGTGTGGACTGTGCCCATTCCTGGGCAGGTGAACGTGGGTGATACTAAAAAGCAGGCGGAGCAAGCCATGGAAGCAAGCCAGGAAGGGGCATTTGTGGTTTATATTTCAGTTCCTGTCGCTGAGTTCCTGCTTTGAGTTCTTGTCCTGATTTACTTCAAGAAGCTGTAAGGTGAAATACCCCTCTCCGCCGAGTTGCTTTTGGTCACGGTGGTTATTACAGCAGTGTAAGCCCTAAATAAGATCGAATTCATTTACAACTAGGATTTCTAACCAAATTGACATAAGGATCAAATGCAACCTATAAAACATTTAAATCTGAAAGAAAGGTTATTCCTTTGGCGATTGTGACTGTTTATACTGAAAAAAAGAAAAAGAAAAAAGCCTTCCCACATCTTCTCATCCTTACACCAAAATGAAAATCAAAACAAAAACTTCGACATGAGTGTATCATATTTAAATGCCAAAGCTAAACAATAAATTTCTGAACTACATGGGTGAGCTCTCTATGCAGGATATTAAAAATATAATCATGAAAAAGACTAATTTGGCTCTATTGTATTTTATTTTTAATCTTCTGTTTCTTTGAGATACTAGAGATTCTGCAAGAGTCGTGGCTCATAATCCCTTTGTGGGTGGAACAACCTTTTCACAGGGGTCACATGTTAGATATCCAGCATCTCAGATATTTACATTATAATTCATAACAGTAGCAAACTTACAGTTAAGAAGCAGCAATGAAAATAATTTTACGGTTTTGGGGGAGGGTCACAACATGAGCACTGTATTAAAGGGTCACAGCGTGAGGAAGATTGAGAACCCCTACTCTAAATTTTCAGGCCCTGAACGGAAGATGTTTTGAAATCTTGGAACCAACAAAGAGTTAGCCAACTGAAATACAAAGCGATGTATTACTGAGTTTTTAAAGTGGTAAGTTGCTGGGGCCAGAGGGCGGCTCAGTGGGCAAGAGCACTAACTGTTCTCTAGAGTACCTAGGTTTGGTTCCCAATGCCCATATGGCAGCTCACAGCCATCTGCAACTCCAGTGACAGGGGATCTGATGTCCTCTTCTGACCTCCAAGGCCTATACGCACTGTATGCCAATGCAGACAAAACACTGTATACATAAAATGAACAATTAAACTTTAAAATAAAACGAATAACCCATGATAAAAATTTGCAAGAGGTTTGGATTGAATCCAAATGGAAAATATGAACAAGACCTTACATGACTTCAATAGTTACTTTTTAAGTATAATCCTACCCCCGCTATTGCTATTGCATTCGTGAGAATTTTTGCTGTGAAAATTCTGATAATATACTACGTCAAGGCTGTGATGACAACTGTTGCAATGAATTTGGAGACCAGCGTTATTGACAGAAGCTGACCCTCACATTCTATGACCTCAAATACGATTGATTGCTACATGTACACCTTCCAGAATGTGCATGAGCACACCAAGGGTACACGATGAACTCTGGAGTAATGTGAATTATAGCGAAAAGCACAGAGAGACTAGGTATCCATCTGCATTATTCTAGGTTCATGCATTGTGGTGTTTTCATAGCAAAAGAAGTACAAGCCTTCTGTTACATACAAAAATGGAAAAGACATCACAGATACATCGTTAGGAAACAGAATCAAGGGCAAAATACCTAACTGATTCTGTCCATATAAAGGTCAAAACCAGACAACCTAATTGATCATGTCTAGGGGTGGATAGTTACAGAGTTAAAGTAAAACTCAGGACTAGTTACCTTGAAAATCTTACTAGGAGGAGGGATGAGGCAGTTGGAGCCCTGACCTGGTATATTTCTTTCTGGGGAGTGTCTTGTCTTTCCTTATATAAAGGGGACGGGAGAGTGGGGAGGATGAGATATTTTCTTCAAGGTGAAGGCTGACTATCGTTTCTCAGGGTAGGAGGTGAAGGGGGCAGGACAGGAGGGCAGCAGGGAAGAGGAGGCCCCAGTGTGTGTGTGTGTGTGTGTGTGTGTGTGTGTGTGTGCGTGCAGACTGCTTCCTCTGCAAACTGACAAGTTCAAGTCCAAAGGGCCAAAACTCATCCAGATCAACCACCATCCAATTCTCTGGTACCAACATATCTGCATTACTGTCCCAGAAACCTTTGTCAGTTATAAGGTGGGAAAATATAATAATCCCCCAACCCCATTTTGTACAAAAGTCTCTCTATAGTTCCAGCAGTGCCCTGGAACTATAGAGAGTTATCACACATAGTCTCTTATTTAGAAGAATTTCTTGTCATTTTTCTTTAAATGTATTTGGATAATTCTTGGTACAAACACTCAAGTTGTTAGTGGTAGTTAATTTGATACAAGGCAAAGTATTTAAAGGGAGGGGAGCAGAGAAAAATGTAGAGCTCAATAAAAAGAAAAAGAATCTTATTCTTAGAGATTTATCCCCTTTTCTCTTTCTCTTTCTAAGGCCTTGTAAATTTCTACCCAGGGGATTACAGGACCAGAGTCTGCAGGTGAATTCCTCCTTGACTTTCAGTGAGTGTAGGGATACTTGGAGACTGAGGACACGTTTACAATCTCATTTGAATCAGCAAAGGCTCTACCTTCCTTCAAATCAAGAAGTTATCCTGGGACGCCAAATAGAGTTCACTAGAGGATGGTGGTCTTCCCAGGGATTGAAGTCATATATCAACTTCTCTATAGTCCTTCCTCCACAAGATAAAAATATAGAGCTCTCTTTCAGAGAGAGAGAGAGAGAGAGAGAGAGAGAGAGAGAGAGAGAGAGAGAGAGAGACTCGTGTGTGTGTGTGTGTGTGTGTGTGTGTGTGTGTGTGCACGCATGCACTGGGAGGGGACAGATTTTAGCTATTGATTAACTGTACTGTGACAGTGTTCACACCCTATTATTATTATTATTTTTTTAGAGAGGAGAAACAGCTGCAAAATTTAAATAAAATGTAAAATTTAGGGGGTAAAATTTAGATAATGATATTGGTAAAGTTTATTTTTTCTTTCTTTAGCTGAAGATATCTACAAACACAAACTTCATTTTGATTTTTCTGGAAACAGCTTCAATATACCAGAGGACTTTGCCATCAAGAGCACTAAAAACCCACACAGATAGGCCAGACCATAATTAAGGCGGTTAGATGTGAGCAAGGAGCCTGCTTGGCACACATGGTTGAAAAGTTTTGTCTATTGTCCGTGAACAGTAATATTAGTCTTAGCCTTCAGGAAAGCCACTATTTTGTCCTGGGTTGGCCACTGCCATCCACGAGGCCTCCTGGAAACCACAGCGGCCACATAGCCATGTCCACTCATGTCCTTTTTTTATTCATAATTTTGACTTTGGGAAGATGAAGAAATTGGGTATTTTCAATTTTTTAACTCAGGTGTTCTCAGTTCATGGGGCTACCAGGCTTTAACCATGAAGCTAGTGACCTCTGGTTGTCACCAGTGTTTGGGGCTGATGTCCCAATGGGGGAGGACACCCAGGCAGGGGACCAAGGGCAGCTCACTTTTCCAGGAAGAATGTTTACTTTACCACGGGCAGAGGTCGCGAAGGTTAACTTAGTGAAACAGGTGGCAAGGCAGATGACACCTAATTTGGTCAAGGAACAAAGAGCATGTACAGGGATGTGGGACACTTCTCACCAGTTCAAGGGAGTTTTTCTAAGATAGCAGCTCCGTTCCTTCACCTTCACACTCCACTCCATCCCCTGCTGTGGAGAGGAGAGGGGGGATGGAGGAAAGACTGGGGTAAACATAGCCCTATAACCCCACCTGTCACCCCGGTATTGTGGACTCTGCCTGAGGATCCAACAGTTTAGGTGATCTCCCGCGGCCCTACAGGCATGGAAGAATCTAAGGATCAGTTCTACCCTGACCCCTGCAGGTTGGTTGTCGGGTCCTCCGAGCCCAGAGTGGCACTGGGCCCGTGTGACTCCCGGATTCAGCCTTGTGCTCGCTTGCCCACCTGAGAAGGCGGCGATGGGGCCTCAGGAGCCAGAGCTCGAGGTCCCCGCGCGGCTGCAAAGTGACACCAGCGCCCCCGAGTGCCCGGGCCACGCGCAGGGCCCGCCAGGCTGGCGCGCCATCCTCCCCGCCCCCCGCACCGCTCCTCCCGGTCCCCACCCTCCACGTTCCCACCCTCCT